GCATCAAATATTTCTTTCAATTCTTTCACGAAGGGGCTTTCAACTTTGGAGAGAAGGGAAAATAAGGTATTCTGTTAACGCACACACTCCTATTATAATATCTTTATTGCAATGATTCCAAACGAATTTCAAATAATAGTATCAACACGCTTTTTGCTCAAATGGCCCATTTTCTGCTATTTTGATGGGTGAATTCCAAATTGGATGTCGATGTTTACATTAAAGTTTGATGGATGTTTGCCATCAGAAAGCTACTCTCATAGCCAATTTATACCTCTGATTGTTTTTAATTGAGGCAATAGGTTAAAGAAGCCAAGTTTTACAAAACAAACTTGGAAAATTAAGATTTTGTTCTGCTTCCCGTTCCCTCTGACTTTCATTCATGCACTTATTCGTTCATTCAGATTGAGCTTCAAACACCTGGAACATTTCTTCAAGTCTTTGCGGACCCCCTGTGATGACATCGTGCCCCCTGGGGGTCCGCAGACTACAGGCTGAGAACCACTGGCCTACAGGATGGTACTCCCAGTTCCCATGGTATGGCAGTGAAGAGAGACTTGGACGCTTCCAACGGAAAGATGATCCGGTGGGTCCTGGGACAAATGAAATTTTCACAGGAAGCAAACATGGCAAAGCTGAACCTGTCGTTCTTGAGGCACCGCATGAGAAAGCAGGGCTCGCTGGAGAAGCCAATCTTGCCGGGGAAAATGGAAGGAAGAAGAGAAGGCCAAATAAGAGACAGATGGACTCCACAAAGGAAGCGACAACCCAGAGCGAACAAGAACTGAGCAGGGCTGGCAAAGAGAAGACTTTTCAAAGGACATTTCCTTGTAGGGTCACTGTAAGTCGGCGACAACCTCACAGGATGCAACAAGAAATGCGTATTATTCTTATTGAAGAGAAGATTGCGCTCTTCCGCCAGCCTTCCTTGCCTTTTCAGAACTTCGTGCTGTGGGTCAATGAGCATGGAATAGCTAATGGCTCCCTTGGGCCCTTTATGGAAAAGGTCCGATGTGAGCTGCAGTTGGAGCGGTGGAAAGCACAGCTGGTGAGCTAGTCATTTAAACCTTCTCAGGAGAACAGGGGTGCCTTCGTGGAAGGCTTTATTCACACACGCAGTTTTGATTCTACTGTGCAGACTTGCCCCAAAGTCTCCAGGCCTTGACATTTTGCCCGAGCGGCTTTTCCGTGGAATTATCCAGCTGAAAGGCCAGCGACCACATCAGGGGGAGGCCAAATAGCACAAACTGGCATCCCCCCTCCCTGGCCTCAGTTTTAAGAGGCTCCTCCTTGTTGGCCGAACAAGGCTGGCAACACTTCCACATATTTCTTCCTCATGACCTTGTTCTCATCTTCCTGTGCTGTGGCAAAAGTGCAACTGTAATCTCCCTGGGGCAGGGACCTGCCTGGTTTGCTCGGTAAAGTGTTTTATACATTTGTGGTAGAACAGAAATAAATAAAATAGTGCTTCAGAAAGGTACTGGTATTGTGGGCCCATTCAGCAAATGTTAGTCGGTAGTACGTCACACTGATGCCCGGGAATACGCATAAGCCAGGCTAGCCACAGCCCGGCTGGGTCTAACCTGAGTGTGATTTTGCTGGCTTGCTACCTGGATCATACCTGTGAAATTCCTTGTTCCTCCTTCTCTTGCCCTCTCCAAACTTCCACCTTTGTGGATGTTCTCTAACCTCTCCAAAGAAGCCCATCCTTCCCCAGCTATGGATTCAAAACCTCCCAAGTGGTTGTCTCGATCAACCACCTGGAAAAAGGACACCTGGACAGTGTGATTTCCTACCTGCCATGATGCAAGCAAATGTCCAGACTAGGTGAATGTAGAAACTATTTTGTTAATTGCTGGAGGGACTAACTCCAGCGCTGCTAACAGATTAAACGTCCAGTAAAGAATAGGCAATGGAATTGCGATGATGTAAAATTGTTTGTTGCCATCTCTATGGTAACCCTGGGATTGTGAGGTGGGGGCCAGGAGAATATTCAAATTGCACATGATGATGCAAGATGATGTCATGGCAGAAGCGCAGACCAATGGCTGTTCCCAACACGACCAGCTACCTGTGTCAGCCAACCATGAGTGACCTTCGCCTTGGCCTCCAAGACCTAGTCTGAGATGCTGGCGCACCTTTGGATCTGTGTTTGAACGAGAGGCTGTCCTTTTATGCTCTCCGCTTTCCTTAGTGGCTGGAAGGCCCCAAGGATGAGAGGGACCAGGAGCTGGTACTGCTAGTGAGTAATATCACTCCTGGAGATCAGGAGAGGACCACGAATTTCCTAACTGGAGGGTACATAATTGCTCAGGCAGTAGGATGACACTCAGAACAATTTGTGTAACCTGATCTTCTCTATGTGCACCAAAAGTTGTGTTTGCTTACACACTTTGACCCTAAGTGTGTAAAAGATCGCACCTTTTAGGAGGCAAAAAGACGGGGATTCTGAGGACAAAGCAATGTTGATGCAATCCAACTGGGCCGAGGGATCAAGGTGTTTGCGCATGTGTTTTTAAATCATTGTGAAGTGCGTAAAATAAATGCCTGGCATTCTGCCAGGGACTGTGTTCCAGACGGCAAGAGGTCTGTGTGAAACTGGGATATTTTTAGAAGCGCTATCAAAAGCGTTGGAAGATCTGGGCTTGCAAGTGGCTGAGATGCCGGAGATACTGAAGCCAAATGCTTCTGCTTCGTCCGATGCTGACACTACTAAAAGCAGTTGACCCAGAAGCCTCCCAGCCAAAGCCGCACCCCAAATAATCAGAATTCTGAATGCAGAAAAGCTAGATTTGACACTTAGATTGTGCAATGAATCTCACTAGCTGGGCTCCTCTTCGGATATTTTTAAATCATTCCTTATGTTGACCTCGGTTTTATTAACCGTGTGTTCCTCAAAATAGGTCTTCCTGTTCCTTTTGCCGTCTCTCATTGTCTGCTTCCATTCATTCGTTTTCCTTTCATGTTCTCTTCATCTGGATAAAGTTTCTCCAGGTGATCGCCTCTGATCGCCTCCTTGGCGCTGCAGCTCGACCGCCCTGGAGAAACTCTTGGCTGTGAGGCTGCTTTTCCTGACCATGGGGTACATTTTAGCTGAGCTAAACTTTTAGCTGAGCTGTTGTGTTTTCACCTAACATCTGAGCATTTTGGGGAGATGCAGCCTGACGGATCCCTCCCCACCCCTTTCCGCTTCCTTTTTCACCAGTCCCTCATTTGGTTCTCTTTTGTTGTTCTCTTTTGGAGTCAGATATGACTTACCAAATTTTCATTTCAGTAGAAATTAAATGTGAAGCATCAGGCTCACCCTTTCCTTCTGGATGAAAAACGCATCTTGTGTAAGGATCTGGGTGAGACCTGCACCCGAAAATGGGCAGTTTTTGCAAGTTGCTCCTTGGACATGCCAACCTCATACAATTCCCCCAATATCTGATGTTGTACAAAACACAAATGAAGAGGCTCAGCATTGTGAAGTAAGCATAGGAAGTTCAAATCTAAAGGCACCGCATTTTAATGAAATAGAAAAAACGTGTATTGATGGGAGATCTGAAAGACTCACATGGCATTCACACAAAAGAAACATTCTAAAAGTCTGGCTTTAAAAGCAGTCCCTCTTCGGAGGATAAACAGACAGGGCTTGTCCATACTTCAGTGTGGCTGCAGAACTTTCTCAGTGTTGAATTCAGGACATCTCCCGATTCCGGATCCAGTGGGAAGAAGCCAGTTAATGACTGTTGTCCATGACGCTGCACCAGCAAATATTCTCCAAAGGAAGAAAAAGCAAGGAACTTCCTTCTGGTTGGAGCAACACCCCTCCCAAAATGGACCTGCCACTCTTCCTTCCCCGGGAAACCAGAATTCACGCCCTCAGTAGGAAAACCGCTCGCTGGTGGGCCCGCTGGGGATGCCCAGTCCCTGGTGGCTTGAACCATTGAGAATCCCCAGAGAAGCTGGACGCCCCCTGGGGAAAGCGGATGCCAGTGGGGCTTTTCCCTCTCCCACGCCAGTGAACGCAGGGGACGGGAAGGCAGTCCCTCGGGGCAATTCGGCGCAAGGGCGGTTGGCCGGGTCAGCGAGCCGTCTGCACGTGCAGGCAGGAGGGGGCGCCTGTTTGGGGGGCCCTGCTGAGACAAGCGGGCCCAAGGCAGGTGGAATCGCCCCCCCAGGGCAGCCCTTGGCCAGGAGCTGCTCAGCCCGAGCTGGCCTCAGGGGCCCGGGGATTCCCACCCAGGCCTCCGTCAGTCAACGGCCCGGGCCGGGGCCGGGCCAGCAGGGCCTCCACAGCGTGGAGCTGGGGCACGTTTCTCAGGAGGAGCTCGCCTGTCCGAAACCGTGACCACGGTCAAAACACGCATCTCTCCTTGAAAAATGCACTCTCTCAGATGCAAAGAAGCCCTGACATTAAGGCTTTCGTCCACGGGTGGAGAGTGTGCACTTCAGGAAAGTGTGGACAGGGAGACACGTTTTGCCCATTGGAAGGACACGCAAACAGTTGCAAGCAACAACGGGAGGGAGGTGCACCGAGCTTCCGAAGCGGCCTGAGGAGAATCCCAGCCAGAATGGGCGTCCCTCAGGCCTTCTGTCGCTACACCTCCCAGGAGACTGTCCTTTCCTCCGCCTCCGTTGGGATCCTGCTGTTGATTGTCCCAGACAAGCTTCCCCCTTCTAACCATGGGAGAACCGAGCGGTTCACAATCCGCAGCAGCAGCTCTGCCACTTCGCCTCTCCTGGACCCCCGCTGGAGAAATATCGCTATGCTGAGTCTCCGGCACGGAGCGGCCCGGAGGAGAGCGGGACGGCCTTCCTGCTTCGGGGACAGGACTGGCGCTGCCGAGGAGAAAGTGATGCGATGGAAGCTGGAGGGGACGGGTTCCAAGGAGCCCCTCCCGCCAGGGCTGGTCCGATGGCCCCCCCCCACTCCCACGCCTCCGGGGCACCCTCTTGGGCAGGGCCTCTGGGGAGAGGTTTGAGGGGCGCCGCGCTAGCCCCGGGGGGCGCCGGGGTCACACTGGCCCGTCCGGGTTGTACTGGCTGGAGCTGGGGCTGCGGGGCGGGGGCTGCGGGGGCACGTAGCTGAGGGGCGGCAGCTGCGGCTGCTTTGCTCGGAGCCTCAGCCCGGCCAGGCCCGGGCCGCAGGGGTCCCTGTACACGTACGGCGAGGGCGCTCCGGGCCCGTAGGCTGAGGCAGCGGGCCCCGGGGGACTTGCCAGGCTGCCGAAGGCCTCCAGGGAGGGGACGGCGGGCACGGAGGCAGCCGCAGCCGCAGCCGCAGCCACAGCCGTGGGGAACACGCCCTGCGGCGGGAAGGAGCTGAGGTTCACGGAGCCGAACAGCTGGAGGCCTTTGCCGTGGACGGAGCCGGGGTGCAGCCCCCTGGGGGCCCAGGAACCGTAGGCATAGCTTGGGTAGAGGTCCTCGTAGGGCTGTTTCCCAGGCACGCCGTCGGCCTGTGGGCCGAAGGGCCCTTTGCAAAGCTCAGTCTGCTGATGGCGCTCCTTCTTCCGCCACTTGGCTCGCCGGTTCTTAAACCAGACCTAGAGGGGGGAAGGCAGGGGGGTCGGTGAGTCCCATTTCAGAGCTCTGGGGAGCATTCGGCTCACTCTGTGCCGGTGCTCTGCAAGTCATTTCCTTCAGGCACCGCTGTTGCAGAACTATCCGTTTATTTATCCATTGATTTTCTATACCGCCAATAGCCAAAGCCCACTGGGCAGTTCACAGCAGCATGGTTACAAAACAACGTGAAATATGCCACTGAAACATCATAAAAGTTAACCAGATGAAATTATGACATTATAGCAAGTCGAGAAGACCCTCCTAAGCCCTGTCTAATAACAAGCAGGCCCCAGTAACTAATTAAAGTCCTGCAGGAGAGGATGGTCTTTACCTGATGCCAAAAGGATAATAAGGTTGGTGCCAGGAAGGCCTCTGTGGGGAGCTTGTTCCAGAACTGGGGGGCCACCACCGAAAAGGCCCTGCTCCTTGTTGCCCCCGCCCAAGCTTCCCTCTCTGTTGTGTGTTTTTTCTTAATTCCAAATAAGACATGGATGATCAGGGGAAAGAGACCTCTGTGGATTCTTTCTCCTGGGGTTTAGCTACTGGGGTAAACAAGTGGCAGCAGGTGGGGGCTTCTGGCACTCACCCTGATCCTGGGCTCCGTCAGATTGGTCCAGCCTGCGATCTCCTCCCTCATGCTCAAGTCAGGGTAGCGGTTCCGCTGGAACGTGGCTTCCAGCTCCTGCAGCTGCAGGCTGGTGAAATGAGTCCTCTGCCGGCGGGGCTTTTTCTTGCTCACGCTGGCTTCCTCCTCCCCGCTGGAGTCGGAGGACCTGCACTGGGACGCCTCGCCATTCTCTCCTGGAAAGAGCCATGAACGGGGGGCAGGTTAGCTTGCAGCGGGCACTGAATTCACGCTTGCCTGAGGGGCACCGACGCGTCTTGAAGCAACCTTGCGCGGTGTCCCAGTGCGCACGGAGGAAAGGCCAGGAGAGAGGAGGACCACGTCCTTGCATGTCCTCCCATGCCCTGCCCTGCACTGCCCTGCCCTGCGCTGCCCTGCCACACCACGCCACGCCACGCCATGTACCACCTTCCCCAGCCATTGAGGCTGCACCCCGAAAAACTGGCCCTGCCTAGTCCAGTCCGCTCAGACCAGCATCACTCCCCAGAATGTCAGGCTGAGCTTTTTTCCAGCCCCAGCCTACGAATGCCAGGACTGCACCAGGGCCGTGTGCAAGCCCGGCTTGTGCTCCGGTCAGCCACTCCGGGCAAGATGCTGTGGCACCTCCCAGGCCAGAACTGCAGCACCCTGGCCCGGCCCCTCCCTTCTTTACCTAAAACGCTTTGCCAAGGCGAGGATGCAAAGCTCGGACTAGGCAAGTGTCACATCATTTCCTCCGACCCCCGTGGGATTTCTTTCGCATGCGCTACAGCGCCACTGAGCATCAAAAGGCGAAGCCTGGTTCCCCCGTTTTCACCCTCTGCTCTCACTGCCTCTTGATTTTCATGCTTCTGTTCAAGAGGAGGAGCAAATAAATACGTTACATTCTGCAAAAGAGACCGAATTCCGAACTACAAGGCAGCCGACAAGCGTGTTCATTCGGGCATCTGCCCGTGCAAAAGACCCACAGAGCCGCCGAGGAAGAGGCAGGCGGGCCTTCGCTGCCCTCTGTTCTCCCTTTGCCGGCCAGTTCCTCGGGTGGAGCCAAAGCGGCGTCTCGCATGGACTGGACCCAGGAAAGGGGAAGGAGGCTCCCTGCCGCCCAGTCGCAGGACCACATGGAGCTGAAGCTCGCCTGCGAGGAGGTGGAAGAGCCTCTTTGGTTTGGAATCTGACTGGTGATGTCCTGGATCAGCCATAAGCCACGGCCGTTGGCCATGTTCCCCTGGCGGCTGGGAAAGAGATGCCAAGTCCGCCGGAGGCACCAGGCTTCCTGCCCTTGGGGAAGGTGGTGGAACCATTGCTCTCCCCGGGGACGGTGAACAGCGATGCCTCGCCGATCTAGCCGCAGGGCCTCCTTTTGGTCTGGTAGGTCTACTCCAGATTCAGATTCCAGGGAAAGGCAAGCCCCAGGGGGGAATTTTTCTGTCCTTTGAGGACATAAGAGCGTAAGAAAAGCCCTGCCAAGGCCCAGCTAGTCGATCTTTCTTACGAGATTGTCTGGGGGAAGGAAAAAGACAAAGGGGGGGGGAGCAGGGGTCACAAGAGAGGGATGTTATTTGGGCCTCCTTAAAATGTAGGTGATGATCTTGCTGGAAGCACTGTGAACCTGTTCGGTTTCTTCATATTCCCAAGAACAAATACATGCTTATCTCTCGAGCTGGTTTGTGCATCTCTCTCAAATTTCCATGCACAGGATCTGTAGGTGTGAGCAGAGGGGGGAGGGGCGCAGGAGTTTTTAAGGTAACCGAAATAGGGTCACTGAGGGAGTTTCTCTTAGGATGCCCTCAGTTGTTCGGCCTGATACGACGGGGAAAGACGGTCTGGACCGGTCCTTTGCACGGTGCCGTTGCTGCCCTTTGGCTGCGTGTGGCTCCACCTGCAGTGGCTGAAATGCTGGGAGGGCCCAGAGGGGACTCGTCCCTGGGCAACGCGGGCGGGTTTCAGGTGAAAGGAAATGCCCGCACTCTTCCCACGCGGCAACCTGCTGCGTGTGGTTCCCCATGGGTTGTCATGTGTGAATGTGGATCAGCTCCTGCAGGGACAGCAGGCAGGAACCAGAGCAATCCTCTCGACCCCCCTTTAAAGGGTGCCAGTGTTTCGACAGCTGTCAGTTCCTCAGAAAAGGGGATGGGATGCATTTCTGCTCCTTCTCAGTTTCTTGGAAATTACCTGGGAAAATGTTGCATGGGAAGGGTCAGGAAGGGTCCAAACGGGGCACCCGCTCTAGCAGAGGTGGGCGCACTGTCTTCCAGGCGGCTGCTTCAGAGCCCGGCCTGCCGGGAGAGCAGCCCGCGGGCAGAAGGAGGGCCTCCTCTCCCTGCTGCCTTGCCCAGCAGTGGAGATACTCTGCCCTGCTTCACAAGGACCATTTCCTGTTCCCCAAATCTGGCCCCAGGCACCATCCTTCAAACCGGAATTTCTTGGCGTCGCCACACGGTGCTGGGGCGGTGGTGTTGTCTCCCCTGGGCGCTGCGCTCTGGCGCCATGCTTCGGATGCTGTCGGCCTGGGGAGCCATTCCACATACGAGGCCTGCTTTAGTCTGAGAAGAGGCAAGTTCCAACTTTTGGCTCCAGCACTGCTGGGGGATCAAGTAGGTTTTCCACCCAAAGCCTTTGCGAGAGCTGCTAGTCCTGCCTTCCCCAAACTGGGCACCTCCAGATGTGTTGGACAGCCATTCCCATCATCCCCAGCCAGCCTATATTAAATACCTACATGAGATATAAACAAGGGGGCCTTCCACCAACATTGCTCCTGGCAAACCCCCTGATCCGTCCAAAGAGAAGTGCTTCCACTTCATCATCCTGGACAACCAGATGCTTTTGAGAAATTCACAAGCATCCGGACTATGTCGGTCCCTCATCCGCTCTGAGGTTGCATTTCGCCGTCGTGTTGAATGCCTGTGGGACAGAGTGGAGGACCAGCTGCAGAGCAGAGCCGGTTACCTCAGCCATCAGATTAAAAAAAAGAAAGATGCATTTTGCATATGCAAATATACGCTTGCTCCACGTGTTGCGGGGCAAAAAAGCTTCTATAGACAGAGGAGTGGAGGGTTGTGTTTTCTCTTCTTGTTAAACCATCCCAAGACCATGGTAAGGGACAGTCTAAAAATTTTTTGAATGAATGAATGAATGAATGAATGAATGAATGAATGAATGAATGTTTGATTTTGCAGGGGGAATTCAGCTGGAAAGATTCAGCAGGAGGAAATGTTCCGGTGGGGCAAAAACCCCTGAATTCAGGGGGATGCCATGCAAGAGATATCCCCAGAGCTCTGGACTTTCATTTCAGCAGGTGGCCATGGGCAGCAAGGTGCTGGGGCGGAGCACCCCCTGGAGACGCACAGATCCAGCCCACCTGGGCCACCCCTAACGCTGCTTCGGTTGCACAAGCAGCGCCCATCCTGTGCCATCCATATGGGGAAAATTTGGATAAATCCTGGCTGAAAACGTTGCTTCTGCGTGCTTCTGTGTTATAAAATCAAACCTGCACTCCTTCTCAAAAGCATTGGCTTTCCAAGTCTAGTCACTGTTTAATATTACTGTAACTTTAAGAAAATGGCTCTAGTTCTTGCGGTAAGCCAGAGCAGACAGGCCGTTCAGTCAAATATATGTATATACAGTGCCTTTTTTGTTTAAAAAAAAAAGGTGCTGGAACTCACGTCTTAGAGTCACACTTTTACACTAAAAAAGATTTTCAATTCACCAACTTTTTTTGAAACAAAGAACTTATTTAGCTTTTGCACGTAGCCAGTCACTCTACACACACATAAACATAATGGTCGTCGCCGGCAGTAAGCACTCAGCGCGCGACCACACGACCGATCCCAAGCCGAGCAGCGTCCCAAGCCGAGCAGCGCCCTCACAACCAGCGCGGGCACACAAGCAGCCCGCAGGCACTATGTTAATGATTTTTGCCACCGACCTGCTACGCCTGACAGGGCGATTCAAAATCACTTGGAAAAATCCGTCAAAAAAAGGTGCCGGAACGCTGTTCCGGTGCGTTTTATGACAATAAAAAGCCCTGCGTATATGCATTCACAATGAAGCTAAATAATCCTTGTAGGAAGTATCTATTTTGCTAGCCCAGAGGGCTCTGTGCGCCCTGGCCAATCAGAATGGTGCGGATCCATTACTTAGGGTCCATTACTTAGGGTCTGAGTCTAGATGAGCTTATGAGTTCATGAATGGTTTCTCAGTAGCCTGAATTTACTTGTCTAAGCAGACCCGGAGATGGGTTCAAGTCTCTGGAAGTTGCTCAACTGAAGTGTCAATACACTGCCATTAGAAATAGTGTCATCTTATTGTTACTTGCATGATTTGCTGATCTTCCTTTATCTGTTCTGTATATGATGACCTCAGAATTTCATTGAAATGTCTGCATTCTGTCATCGATTGCTCTGTACCTGTACGTGACCAGGAGGGTACAAAATACCCTGTAGTTGTATTGAAACCTCACAGCGAGTTTACCTCTGCCTGCACGGTAATGCATTATCGTGAGTCTACTGCGGGAACCTGGGCCAAACAACAAAGCCACAGGTGGTCTGGGCGCTTGGTCTTTCCCACGAACCCGAGTTCTATTTCGTCCTCACAGATTGAAACTCTGGGGTTCTGTCATCCACCAGACAAGTGGTGATCACAACCTCTGGAATGGGAGGGACGCAAGCTCTCCTCTCCTTCTGCAGGCTGTGCTGCTTCGTTTCACTGGTCCACAGGCTGGCCTAGAATGCTGAGCTGCAGTGGCTCTCCCGGTACAGCAGCACCCGTGTTTCAGGTGGTCACTGTCAAAATGCAAGCTGGAAGAGGCACTTCATAGAGTACCTACTACGAAACTGCAATAATAATGGGTCTAAGATGCGTCCTATTTCTGCAGACTTGCACTTCTCCTGCCCTTACGTCAGAGCAGCTAGAAGCAAAGGGCGCGTCATGCCGAACTGCAAAGCAAGATGTGTCGCTGGAGACGCGAGAGACCTCCCTGTCGGCTGCAGAGCCGAGCGGGAGGAGGAAGCCGGCTGGCTATCGGCTCCGCTGAAGGCTAGGGCTGCTCTGGACTCCTCTCCTCCTTGCAGCACTTCCTTCCCTCCTGCTTCCGAGAAGAGCTCTGCTGCATTAACAACTGGAGCCCCGGCCCCACTGCTTCCCCATCTTTTCCCCTCTTCTCCTTCTCATGCCCCTAATTATAAGCCTGAGATCACAGCCCCCCTTGGTTTGCTGGCTTGTTTTTTTGTCCCGATTCATAAGCTGCGCTGGGAACCATTTCAGCGGAACCATGCGGTAAACATGCTTTGAATAAAGACGGAAACCAAAGTCCTGCTGAAAGGGCTGTGGCTGACCTGCCGACCTGAAGGAGAGCGATCACGTGCCCAAGGAGAGAAAACAGCCCTGCTTCTCAGGCCCAGTCCAATTCCCTTCCTAGGTCACTTTCTTTACCCTTACGTCTAAAGAGTTCGGTCCCCGTTCATTTATTCCAGATTACTGAATCCAAACAACCTGCTACTCTCTCCTTTCTTAAGACTACGTACCATGGAAAGTGCTCCTTCTCTCAGCCCATTTTTACTCTCCCATCTATGCTGAATGTACGGCGAGCTAGACCTGTGCTCAGGCGCTTGGTCGCGGGGATGCAACCACTGCTGAGCCTGGGTCTCAGCAGCCCCTGGGCAAGCTGTGCCCCGAGCTGCTTTCACCTTACCTCCGCTCTCCGTGCTGGGGGTCCCAGCCAGAGCTCTTGGTGGAATCCCATCCGCGTTCCCATCTGGGGCCTGCAGCAGCGCTGACATGCTCCCAGAGATCCAGAGGCGGTCCAGTTCCCCTCGTTAAGGTCCCAGGCGTGGGAGCAGAGCTACCTCGGAAAAGCTGTGGCCAGCAAGGCCTACGGGGTCAGCTTTGTGGGGCTGAAGGAGTGTGCAATGCCACAAAACGGCGCAAAACGTGGTGCACGGGTCTCCCAGAAGACTAGACCACACGCGCCGGGGAATCTCTTCGCGCTGCTGGCTATCTGGAGCGTCCCTTTCCGGTTACAGAATCCCCTCCGGGGATTTGCTTCATGAGGCAAAGCTAGCCACTCTTGGAGGGCTCAGCCTCCCTTCTCCAGGTCCACATGAGGCCCAGGCTGTGGCCTCCCTCTGCTGAAGATGTTTGCAACCTCCCGGGAGCAGTTTTGTTCCAGAGGACGGCCTTTCTTTTGCTTTTTTCCTTTAACCCACCTCCTCTTCTCACATGTTTATTTTCCTTTCCCAGGGCTGGAGGGCTCTTTGGCTTGGCCTGGAGGAGATGTGTGTGTCTCGCTCTGTGTGTCAAATATCAGGGACAGCTGAGTGCAAGCTAACCAGGTGCCAATCAGCCACGGTCTTGCAACGGGCCGGGGCTGTTGCATGTGGAGATGGATGGGAAAATGGCAGCTGGGAAGCCACCGCTTCCTTCAGCGGGCTCTTCGGAGGAGACGCGAAACATGCCCCATTTCAGCAGCAGTTGTCTCTGTGTTTACATGTGCTCCTTGGAGTTTCACTCATCTTTGCGGCTTGCCTGTGACGCCCCTTAACAGAAGAACAGAAGAAATGTCCAACTAGATCAGATCAAAGGTCCGCTGAGCCCGGGATTATGTTTCCAAGAGTGATCCATCAGGTGCCTTTGGAAGCTCACAAGTCATGGAAGACGGTCTCTTTCTCTCCCCCCCGACTCACACCCCCACCCCTGTGTTGCTTCTTCCCAGGGTCTAGCACCCAGAGAGATCCATTGTCTCTATGCACAGAGATTCTCCTGACCTAACATTTTCTGGAAATATATGTAAATGATTAGTGCATTGCCTGACAACAGTCTCACAAAGTGATCCACAATAAAAGGAAATGCTCAATCCATTTTACATTATGGAGCTACGGCAAAAGAAAATGTACAATCCATTTTACAATCCTTTTTTTTAAAAAATATTTTATTAAGATTTTAAACTAATACTAAAGACATCAATCATCAAATACATCGGACGTACTGGGTCAGCCCCCTACTACATATCTTTTAACATTCCATAGTCATATTCAAATCTATTTATAATAACTTAAAAACATCTTTAAATCTAAGCCAAGTCCCGTTTCTCCAGCCAATAATAAAAAAAATCCCAAGTTTGATAGAAGTCAGTATCATCTTTCTCCTTCAGTGATAAAGTCAATCTATCCATTTCTGCACAGTCGAGAGTCTTTTTTAGAATCAGTTCATCAGTGGGCCATTTTACAATCCTTTATGTATATCCATAAGGCCATCCAGTGGCCCAGTGGTCCTTCTGAAAAGGCTCTGCTGCACCCAGAGGCGGAATTCTCTTCCTGCACGCGCACACGCACTCTCAGCACTTTGGTGCTGCATCTCTTCTCGGAGAGCTGGCACCTCTGCATCTCTTGCTGCCTCCATGCCAGAAAATTATCTGAATTGTCCACATTGCCAGGCCTTAGAGATTACTGTTGCAACACCAACAGCTCTTGCCCAGTAGCCATGGACTGACTATTTGACTAGGAACTTGATTGGACAAAAACAAATGTTTTAGAAATCAAATGAGGTACTGATACATCTTGGCTATGAATGCACATAGCTGTAAGCCACACTAAACTAAAAACACCCCTAAACTGTAAACCAGGATTCCAGAGAATCCCGGTGCGTTATGAACCAGTGGCTTGCTGGTGCCTGCAGCCCATTTGCTCCTGCTTGGCACCTTCATGCTGAAAGGGCCACTAAATGCACCCTTCTTCCAGGCAGAGCATCCTGGCTTGTTGCTCCTGCACAAACCAGCATTTGTAAATAAGAACAAACCCTGGTTTGTGATTCTGGTTTGTCACAAGCCAGGATCTCCGGTCTGGACAATGGTGTAAGCAAATACTTTCTGGTTCGCTTGGCATTCCAGAGGAAAAGTGGGAGGGGACGAGCTGTGTGTACAGAACTTTCCCAGAATGCACCACAATCCTCTGGACTTTGGGCTTCTTGTTACATGAGACATGCTCCATGTCTTGCGTTCCAAGTTCCTGGAATGCATTTTCTGTGATGTGAAGAAGTGCTCTTGCAGCACAGACCCAAATCTACCACTGATGAGCTTGATTGAGAAACCCTTGATTGAGAAGTTTGGGAATGGGGAGAAATTAGTGCATGTTCTATTATGGTCTTAACTAATTTTGCACTTTTGAAGCAGCTGAAATTCAGTGATCCTTCCTTCTGTCTTCACTCTTATCTATCAGCTTCTTTCAGCATGTAAATAGCAAGAGGAAGGGGAGACAAGTGGTGGGACCACTAAATAAGGAGGAAGGAGATCCAGTGACTGATATGAGGGAACAGGCACAGATGCTGAATGACTATTTTGCCTCTGTGTTCTCCCCAAAGCAGGACGGGGGAGATCCGCACAGGAGATTAGATGAGGCCGGGGACTTAGGGGCACAGATTAGAGTCACCTCCCTTGAAGTTGAGCGGCTCCTCAGGGCATTGGACATTACAAAGGCACCAGGCCCTGATGGGCTACACCCGAGAGTACTTACAGAGTTGGCAGGGTTCTACCACGCCCGCCTGCCTCCATTTTTGAGGCCTCGTGGGGAACGGGTGAAGTCCCAGAGGACTGGAGGGGGGCGTCAGTGGTCCCAATTTCCAAAAAGGGTAGTAGAAGGGACATGGGGAATTACAGACCGGTTAGCCTTACGTCCATTGTAGGAAAAACAATGGAAAGGCTCCTAATAGAGAGAGATCTAGTGATGCTAGACAGGGAAGGGAGGCTGACGGCCACACAACACGGCTTCCGCAAAAACGGGTCCTGCCAGACAAACCTTGTGGAATTCTATGACACAAGCGATGGCTAGATGGAGCGGATGCGGTAGATGTGGTATACCTGGATTTCAGCAAGGCCTTTGACAAAGTGCCCCATGATATCCTGGTGGAGAAACTGAGGAGTTTTGGATACACCAAAGCACTGTCCAGTGGATTAGGGCATGGTTGACTGACTGAAAGCAGAAGGTAACCCATTAACGGGGAATCATCGGGATGGTGGCCAGTGACAAGCGGGGTCCCCCAGGACTCTGTCCTGGGGCCGATCCTGTTTAATCTTTTCATGAATGACATGGAAGAAGGGCTGAACAGTCCGCTGATCAAATTTGCAGACAACACTAAAACTGGAGCAGTGGCCACAACCGAGGAGCAGGTACTCCAGCTCCAAAAGGATCTGGACAGACTATGGAAGTGGGCAGGAGACAACAGGATGGCGTTCAATGTGGATAAGTGCAAGGTCTTGCCCTTGGGGCATAGGAATGGGTGTCATAAGCACAGGTTAGGGGACAAGTGGCTGGAGAGCAGCACTTGTGAAAGGGACCTCGGGGTGCTGGTTGACTGCAGGCTGAACATGAGCCAGCCGTGTGATGCGGTGGTCAAGAGGGCGAACGCCACCCTTGGTTGTATAGCCAGAAGTGAGGCTTCTAGATCGAGAGGGGTATTGCTGCCACTCCATACGACTCTGGTGCGCCTGCAACTGGAGTATTGTGCTCAGTTCTGGGCCCCTCGTTACAGGAAGGATATAGCCAGGTTGGAGTCAGTGCAGCGTAGGGCCACAAGGTTGGTGGCCGGTTTGCAGGGGAAGCCGTATGAGGCGAGACTGAGGGAACTGGGTCTCTTCAGCCTGGAGGAGACTCGGAGGGGATCTGTTGGCGACATACAGGTATGTGAGGGGGTGTCACATGGAGGGGGGCAGAGACCTGTTCTCCCCTGCAGAGGAAGGCAGGACGCGCTCCAATGGAGCACAGCTCAGGGAACCCAGGCTCCATTTGGATGCCAGGAAGCCCTTCCTGACGGTTAGCACCCCGAGGGTGTGGAAGGGGCTTCCATGATAGGTGGTTGAGGCCCCATCGGTGCGGGTGTTCAAGGATAGGCTGGACGTGCACATGGGAGGCATGTGGTGAGCGGAGCCGGCTGGAGCCGGGGGTCAGACTAGATGGCCCGGGGGGACCCTTCTGCCTCGCTCTGTTTCTGTGTGTCTATGTTATCTCCCCCATAAAGTGTACCTTCCTTTTTTTGTTTTTTGTTGCTGCTTCCTTTATTTTGTACAGTGGCACCATAAAAACTACAACAAGATCTGAAACACAAAATGAACGCCCTCCCCCCATGGCTGAATGCATGGGCCGCCTGCGGAGCAATGCCCCCCATCAATGTTAGCACGTTGTGTGAAACTGGGGCAAAAGGGGGGGGGCGGTATAAGCCAGAGGTGCCCAGGACCATGGGTCCTGCAATCTGAACCCAGATCCATGACGAATGCAGATCCGGCCGTTCCAAGCCACCAGGCAGACCCACTGGTCTCTTTTTGTCGGGGCTGGGAATTCTCCGCATTGCTAGCTGACACAAGCTGCCTGTCAGGAGATGCTGTTCCTCCAGCCAGCTAATTAGGCCTTGAAAGACGGGTTTGGAGAGCTGCTTTCGCGCAATCCCAAGGAGACGGTCAGGTTTCAGGCAGGATGATTGAAGAGGCAGCGTGCTATTCAGCTTTTCCTCTCCTCCCAAGCCGCTCAGATGGGCTGCGTCTGTGAGCCTTCAGAGGATGCCCGCTTCTCCAGCCAGCTCAGGGTTTGAAGGCCCCTTCCTTTCCAGACCAGGACACCCCTGCCCTGCTGTTTACTTCCAAATAAAAGTGCAACTGATTTGGAATCTCTTCCACGTATATTCTGCAAACATCACCTTTGCTTCATCTGCCGGACTTCCTGGGGTTCTAGCAAGGAACAGCAAGGGTTGGTGCCCCCGTAGCTTATGGAGACCATTTCCAGAGAGCATCGGAGGC